GGAAGGAAGGACATGCTTGGGAATCCCCTCCTCTTCTCCATAATGCCATATCAAATCATGGAATCATTTAGGTTGGGAAAAACCTCTAAGATCATCGAGTCCAACTGTTAACCCAGCACTGTGAGGTCCACCACTAAACCATGTCCTCAAGTGCCACATCCACATGTTTTTCGAACACTTCCAGGAATGGTGATTCTACTACTTCCCTGGACAGCCTGTTCCAATGCCTAACCACTCTTACAGTGCAGAAATTTTTCCCAATATCCAATCTAAACCTCCCTTGATACAACTTGGGGCCATTTCCTCTCATATGTCACTTGTTATCTGGGAGAAGAGATTGACCCTTACCTTGATACACCTCCTTTCAGGTAGCTGTAGAGTTGTAACATCTCCACCTGGGCCTCCTTTTCTCCAGGTTAAACAACCTCAGTTCACTCAGCCACTCCTCATAAGACTTTTGCTCCAGCCCTTCAACAGCTTCGTTGCCCTCCTTCTTCAGTTCTGAAGTTGTGATGCCTATATACTCTTCTCAGGACATTTTACTTTCATTCTACCATTGGTGCCTACAAATGTAATTAGTTGCATGAACTTAAAGGAACTTTTTTCAGTTAAACCTTCTTCCACTACATCTATGCGGCCTGGCTACATGCTATGCACTGGTTTGCTCTGAAAGGCAAATGCTGCCTTGGTTTTTGGTTTGGGATTAAGTAAGGAAGAAAAACCAATGGACACTCATCAGAATTTGGAATGACTGATTTAAGTTCTGTTAACTGACAAATCATATGAAGTTCAACAAGGGAAAGTCCCGGATTCTGCACCTGGGATGGAGCAACCCCAGATGTACAGACAGACTGGGGAATGAGATGCTGGAAAGCAGTGCCAGGAAAAGGGACCTGGGGGTTCTGGTCAATGGCAAGTTGAATATGAGTCAGCAGCGCCCTGACAGCCAGGAAGGCCAACTGTGTCCTGGGGGGCATCAGGCAAAGCATCCCCAGCTGTTCAAGGGAGGGGATTGTCCCGCTCTGCTCTGTGCTGGTGTGGCCTCACCTGGAATATTGTGGCAGTTTTCGTCACTGCAATAAAAGAAAGATATTAAGCTATTAGGGATTGTCCAAAGGAAGGCAACAAAGATGGTGAAGGGCCTTGAGGGGAAGCCATATGAGGAGCAGCTGAGGTCATTTGGTCTGTTCAGCCTGGAGAAGAGGAGACTGAGGGGAGACCTCATTGCAGTCTACAACTTTCTTGTGAGAGGAGGAGGAGGGGCAGACACTGATCTCTTCTCTGTGGTGACCAGTGACAGGACCTGAAGGAATGGTCTGAAGTTGCGTCAGGGGAGGTTTAGGCTGGATAGCAGCATAAGGTTTTTCACCCAGAGGGTGGTTGGGCACTGGAACAGGCTCCCCAGGGAAGTGGTCACAGCACCAAGCCTGACAGAGTTCAAGAAGTGTTTGAACAGTGCTCTGAGGCACATGGTGTGACTCTTGGGGATGATCCTGTGCAGGGCTGAGTGTTGAACTCAGTGATCCTTGTGGGCCCCCTCCAACTCACATATTCTGTGGTTCTGTGTGATTCTGTGACTTTTTGATTTTTGGTCTTTAATGAATATCTTCTAGTAGTATTTTTAGTCACTTCTCTCAAAATTTGTTAAATTTGTGCATATTTCTGATCAGTGTCTAAAACCCAGTGGAAACTAATCCTACAGTTTAGGTTTACATCTGGAAACCTCTGTGCCTAGATTACTCTAAAATCAAAATGGGACATGCTGAGAGCACAGGCATTTCCTATAACATTGTTTTAATATTTCCTGCATTATTTTTCTATCATGTTTTTCATGTTCCCTAACTGATCTTTCACTGGGATAGCTGAGATCAGATGGAATAAACCCATAAATTCTGAAGAAAATGAAACTGTTGCTTTATGCAACTCATTGCTTAAATCTGCCTTAAACGCTACCATGCCAGAAGAATGGAAGGTGGAAAATACGACTAGTGAAAGGACTTCTGAGCTCACTGAAATCAGTGCTTGATGTCTGTGCCAAATAACTTACTGGAAAACATAATAAAGAATAGAATTGGTAAACTGAATGATATGTTGGAGAAGAATCAGCATTGCATACCAAGAAGGATGTCATGTTTTGCAAAACCATTTGAAGTTCAAGGAGTGATATTTATTTAGATAAGGATGGTTCCGATAATATTATATACCTGGATTTTAAAAAACTTTTGAGCTGGTCTTTCACTATATGCTCTCAAAATGTGATCATATGGGATAAACCGAAATGGATAAAAATATCATCTAAAAGAAAGCTCATCATTAGATTACACAATATAATGCAGTTTCCAGAACCCACAAAAATCTCTGCTGTTCAACATCTTCAGAAATTTTATGGAGAAGTTTAATGCCATGAGGTCAATTGGCAAATAATACAAAATTCATCTGAAGAGACAAATCTTAAACTGCTTATTGAGAATATCACAAGACACTTAGAAAAAAAAAGGAATACTTTTATCTTCGATTAGTGAGTTGAATTGACTTGCTGAGAGGTCACACCAGTGACAAAAGCATACAAAGGTTGTGCATCTAGGGAAAAGGTGGAAGCACTGAGGGAAGGAAAAGTGGGACCTGTTTTGGTAGCAAGAAGCTGTTTGATTCACTCGGCTGCATTGCTTGATAGAACTTTTAATGTGACAGGATAATAAATGACAAGTGAAATTTAATATACAGACACATAAAGTGATGCATCCATGAAAGACAACCCTTACCTTCTGTATTCACTGGTAAAACAGCAACTCCACTCAGGAAAGAGGTCTCAGACCTCTTTTTCATGACTTTTTGAAAAGAATAAGTCAGGAAGTGAAAAGGAACCCACGCAATGTTTGGAAATAGTTAGAAAAAAACGGAAGTAAGAAAGAAGCAGGACAGTGCTGCTGTAAAACCACATCTTGAATGTTGCATGTAGTTGTGTCCACTTTGTCTGAAAAGAGGTATAAATAGAAAAGATACAGAGCAGGATGAAAACAAAGATCGGGAATGGTTTCTGTTTGAGGGGCCCAGGCTGAAATCCCAGAGCAGACTATGGATTTAGTGCTGCAATGCCACTCCACACTTCTTCATGTTGTCATTGGGCTGGTTCAGCACAGTAACCTGGTAGAAAACACTTATCCACTAAAAAAAGGGAAGAGTTTCCTGCTAGGTGACTGAGCTAAAACAGCATAGCCACATCTCTGGATGTGGGCAGGGGGACACACAATGTATGGAGGAAAGTGGCAGCCAGTCCTAGGAAACCTATGCCTGCAGCTGTAGCTTCATAAGCCATTTTGGCCAGCTTTGCTGTTGAAATTAGGCCCATGCTCCTTTGCCTGCAGCTACTTGCTATCACCCCTGAAAACCTCTTTCTTTTGGTGTTTGTGCAGCTGTGCAGCAACTTGGGGGGGGGGGAACTGATCTGAAATAACATCAGTAATTTTTGTTGGGTTACTCTGATCGGGTTTGCCGTCACAAGAAGAGGTTGTAGCCAAAGGACAGGAAAAAGCAATGGGGACTGGTGGGACTGCTTCTTTGAGCAGTGCCAGCTCAGAAAGCTTGGGGAACAAATAATAGAACAAAGCTCCATAGCTCAGGAAAAAGGATGGTTCTGAAATCATATGAGAGAGGTCTATAAAATAGTATGGTGAAAACAAATAGGGCATGATCATTCACTGTTTGCTAGATGACAAAAATTCAAGTACCCTGTAAAATTATTAAGCACTTGACTTAAAACTGGTGAAAAAAAGTTCCTGTCTAGCCTTTGTGCACATTTGGAACCTTCCAGACACTCCTGAAAACCAGGAGTACCAACAGATCAAAAAAGCTATTTGACAAATTCAGAGACAAGAGATACATTTGTGGCTATTAGTGTTGCAGTGGACACAGTTTTTACCTGAGAGCTCTTCCTCTGTACTTTTGGAGATGAAAACAGAAAGAAACCATGGTGGTTTATATGTTCTTACACCTCTTAGCTATATGTCTACTACTGGCCATTGTCAAGACAGAACATACCAGCCTAGGGATGGTTGCTTTGAACGAGTAGGCTGGCTCTTATGTTTTCATGTATGTTACTTCAACTACATGTGATATAAATACATTGGTTACATGTATTATATTTGTAGTAACTTATTCTGGGCACACAAAGTCTGTATTAGGTTTAGCTAAAATAGAATTAAACTAGTCAAGTTCTTCTTTTCAAACAGCTTATACCAGTGAAGTTTTCTTGAAGAATACGTAGATTTGGTGTTCCTCGAGTCATCTGTCACACTGACCCTTCTGCAGGGCAGTACAGATAAAAGGGGTGACTTTAAAACAATGGCAATTAGGCAACCTAAGTGCAGCTCTGAGCTCTGACCTTACAGCTCTGAGGTACCGCTAGCAGGGTTTCCCACATTGGACATGTTCTGTGTAAGTACGGATGGACGAGGGACAGTAAAGGATGGCTTGCAACATATTGGTATAAACCACATTCATCTCTTTCCTGAGAAGGCTATCCTAAAATACTGAAATAAACTGAAAATGTATTCCTGAAGAAAACCTGCTTTGGTGTGTGGGGAAAAGCCAAGTTTCCAATTTACAGCAAGACTGGGTTGGGTTTAGTGCCAGCTTCTCCCTCCCTAGTGATAAGCCCCGGAGCTATTAAAGAGATGTGCCTGGAAGTGAAGGCGCAGCCTCCCCGCCCGCTGCCCGGGTCCTGCCGGCTGCCCATCAGCCCGACTCCCCGTGACTGCCGTTCCCGGGCAGGTACGCGGTGCCGGGCCGGGCGGCCGCTCCGCCGCGAGGTGTGTCCGTGTGCGGCGGCTCGGCGGTGCCTTGGCGAGCGATTGGGCAGGGCGGGCGGGCGAGCGGCTCCGCGGCTCCCCCGCTGGGCTCCCGCCGCCGCGCTCCCGCAGTAGCAGCGCGCTCCCCGCCCGCGCCGCCGCCCGCCCCGCGCCCCTCCCGCCGCTCCGCTCCTCCAGCCCAGCCCGGCCCGGCCCGGCCCGGCCGCAGCCGCCGCGCCGCATCATGCCGCATCCCGCGGCGCCCCTCGGGGCCGTCCTGCTGCTCGTCCTGCTGGCGGCGGACTCCTCGCAGAGTGAGTACCGCGGGGGGCCCGTCCCCCCCGCACACGCCGCCGAGCATCCCCCGCCGCCCTGTGTGTGTGTGTGCGAGCGCGGGTGTGCAGCTGGGGCAGGGGTGGGGTGCGGGGGGATGCGCAGATTCGCGGCTGCGGTAGGGACGGCGGCTGGCGGCGGGTGCAGCGGGAGATGCGGGTGAGGGGCCGCGCCGAGGCCGCGGCGACCCACGGGGGAAGCGCCGGGCAGGGAGGGGGCTCGGTGTGCCGCGGAAGGAGGGTCGGTGCCCTCCGGCTTGGCGGTTTGGTGTGCGCGGTGGGAGATCGGCGGGTTCGGGGCGGCCAGGCGGGCTCAGATGTTCACCGTTGCTCCTTCCTCCTGCTCCTCTCCTCCTCCTCGTCGTCCTCCTCCTCGCCTCCCCCGCGCCGCCCCGGCGCTCGGCTGCCCAGCCGTGCTGCTGCGCGCCCCGGAGGCTGCCCAGTTCCTGCGGCAGAGGCAGCGGCGAGCCTACCAGATCTTCGAGGAGACCAAGCAAGGGCACCTGGAGAGGGAGTGCGTGGAGGAGCACTGCAGCAAGGAGGAGGCCCGGGAGGTGTTTGAGAACGACCCGGAGACGGTAAGCGCGCAGAGCCGCCGCGGAGATTTTGGTGGGTTGTCCGGCTCTGCGCTCCCGCCCACCCTCTATCCGTCCGCGGCTGAGTGCCAGCTGCCGGCACAGCTGGGCAAGCCGTGGGGAGGAGGAGGACTCAGGACCATTAGGTGAATGGAAAGCAATTAGGAAGACACAGTAGTACTCAGCCTGCACAAGGGCAGTCAGGGCTGTCCAGTTAGGAGTGCCTTGGTGAGCGTGGTTTGGGTGAGCGGCCTGGCCTGGCACCTGTTTACCATGGTATAAATCCATGAAGCAAGACCAGAGCGACACAATGATACAGCTTCCCTGTCTGGACACGTTACCATCGCTCCTCTTTACTTCAGCTTCCCATCCCAGCTGTATTTAAAATACCCTTAATGATGTGGCATATGTCACAACAGGGGTTCCTCAGAAGAAGTATGTCTAACCACTTGTAAATCTGTTGGGGCCATATTCGGCTTGGTCAATATCTTGGAATCAGGAGGTTCAGGATCTGTCATTACAACAGCAGGAGAGCACGTGTATGGGAATGTGGTATTGCTGCACTAACAAGTGTGGATTCACAGGGTTACAGAATGCACACTGCACACAGAGCTGTCTTTTCCAGTCTTATCAAGGCTGACTTTCACTTCAGTCTTCTCACTTTGAGCAGCATGTGGATGCTTTACTAAGCTTGGCTTATTTTTCCAGTCACTTTACACCTCCTCTCAACACTGTTTTGGATAGGATCTTCTCATTGCAAAGATTATCTGGAATTGATTTAGCAGTGAGAAGTGGATTTTCTTGGTGTTCAGTCTAAAGCTTCATACTGCACAGCATGTTCCTGTTAAATGGTATGATGCTCTAGGGAGAAGATAGGACAGAGAGAGAGATAGCGTGTGTGTGTGTGTGTGTGTGTGTGTGTGTGTGTGTGTGTGTGTGTATGTACACAGATGCACAAACCACAGGCAAGGGAGGATCTCAGCTGAGGACATGTTTTATGCTTCAGTCAGACAAGTCTTGACATGTGTGCTTCATTAGCAGTCTCAGCACTGGATATACAGCGCAGTAGCTTGTTGTCACAAGGCAGTAGTAAGTATAGCAAAAACATTATGATGGATTTTTGACAATCTTTATTTTAGAGATTAATGTGGAGCACTTGCCCAGGCAGTGTTTAATGTTACACCTCTTATATGTATGTGTAGTCACATCTGCATACAGCAGCGTTTGCTTTGTTCTGCAAAAAGTGTGCTACAGTGGATAACTGTAATGTGGTGAGTATGGCTGGCACAACTGTTTCCATATTCATGTTGAGTAATACAACTTTAAGGTCAGTATAAATATTCACCGCATAACAGTGCATGCATGGAAAACTATAAGTGTGATTTTGTAGCATTCTGGAACAAAGGCCATGTAAGGTCACTGGTTTTACTAACTGGCTTCTAGCCAAGAAAGGAGCTGAAGGCGATGCCTTGTTAGATCAGTTTAGAGAGTGGTATGCTGTATAGATATGTTTTTAACAATATTTGGTAATTATTGTGTAAATCAAAAAAATTATACAGTTCTCCTGCTGTAATGACAATAGTGAAATCATTTTGGTTTAAAACATTTTCATGTATAATGTAAATTCTTTAAGATACAGTCATGCCCCTTAAACATGTTTTGTAGGACAATGCCAACTTTCTGTCATTGCAAATGATTTTGATTTTTTTGGTGCATTTCCTTTGTTGTTGCTACTTGGTTTCACTCAGTTCTTAAAACCACTGAAGAAAGGCTAGATGGACTTCTAGTGTCTGTGCCCCCTTGCTTATTTGACATGTCCTTCTAGACCAGGACTCTTATGTCTTCAGTGACATAAGATCCTGCCTTTTCTGAGACACAGACCTCCCAAGTGCTGTGAAGTTGCTTGTTATGTGCAGTATGTCCTTGCCGTAACTTTGCTTCAATTTGATTGAGAAGCAAGTGTACCACCACGTATCAGGAGGATTTATGGCCTTTCCTATCCATTTTGCAATCAGTGTGTGACATGAAGGGAGCAGCTGCTGTTCAGTAGCAGTTTTCTAATGCAGGGTGGCAGAGGTCATGTATGTGGGCTGTTACAACTCTGCATGGGAAACCTTCTGTGCTTTGTAAGGCATAGGTGACTGCTTCTCCAGCAGTATCTGTGGATTGGATGGTCAGAGTATTAATACACAATGGAAGTTTTTCTTAAACAATAGGGAGTTATTGTGCTGTCATTTCACTGATGTGTTGTACGTCCAGTCCTGCTGACTGACAGAAGAAGGAAGCTAGCTGAGACAGACTTGACTCAGGAAAGACAAAAATTGCTGCAAACAACACCAGGCATTTTGAAGAATCACAGTAACTGCAATCGTGGTTCAGCATATTGTCAGGCTGCAGCTGATCTATGCTGGTAAAATGAGATTTTATTGACCAGGGAACTATACAGGTTGCTGTTGACAGAAGATGATTCTCTGTAGTTAGGAAGGCTGAAATTTTTGCATCTGCCTGCTGAACCTGGTCACAGGGATTAACTGCCTAGGTTGTAGCAGGAAGAAACAGCAACAGCCCTTTTTACCCTGTGCTAAGTGCTGTGGCTTAGCCTCATAGCAGGCAAGCCATGGGGAACACATCAGTGCGTTGCTCATCTATTCTGGTGCATCTCCCAGGTTTTATGCTTTAAAGCACCAGATGAGCATCAGTGTAGGCATTTGCCTGTGTGCTGTCTCATGGGAGAAATGATCTTGCAGCCTTGACAACTGAAGGTTACTTTGAGATTTGTTAATAGCTTCTCTGTTCAACCTCAAGAAATGCTTGTGATGTGAGACCGAAAGTGTTGTCCCTCTTCCCTTTTCCTCTCCATTAGATGCTAATGAAATGTGTGAGTCTTCCTCGTAAACCTTACCATTCTGAACTATCCTGTGGTTGTGTGAAGAGAATTTCAAGGCCTAACTTCAAGACCTATGACCTAAAGATATGATAGAAAATTTCATTAACTGATTCAATCAAACAGCCCCAGAAGTTGAGGTAAGATGAAGCAAGGCCGTAGCGTAGGTTGCATGATGCTTCCCAGGTAAAACTATGTCTCGATACAGTCAATTATAATATCTAGCCAAAAATAACATTATACAGAAAGATACCTATTTCCTGGACAGACCAGTAAATAGAAATGAAATGTCACATATCTATATCAGAGCACCCTTTTTCTGTGCCTTCCATTGTTTCAGTGATCAGTTTTCCAAAGCAACATCTGCAGGCCTAGTCAGCAGAAGATGCACATTCACTGAAACCTAAATGTGGGTGTTGCCACATGTGGAGTTACTTACATCAACTGCTAAGAATAGTGTATTAGGTGGGTCTAAATAGCCATTCATTTGCAGGCCAGTGCAGCTTTTGTCTTTTATGTTACGGAAAATATAAATATCAGCTCTCTCAGACTGGAGGAAGGAAGATCAATTGAAATATTTTTAGACTGTTTTTTTTTTTTTGAGCGGCAGAACAAAACTCAGTCTGTGCCATTTGTATGACTATACATGGTAAAAACAAGTATGCGCCTGGGTTAATGAGTCTTACAGCCTACTTTTTTCATGAAGGTGATTGCAACATCCTTAAATATTACTGGAGAATTCTGGGATGGTTCCTGTTTTATAATTTCATTTATGCTAGAGGTGCCCAACAGAAAAATTAAAAGATAATATACTGAGGAAAAAAGAAGGATGAAAAACATGTTCATGGGAGGTATGAGGACTGTTTCTAAACCTGATCTATTAAAAAGATATGCTAGGTGTGATAGATGGGACGAAGTTGCAAAATATCTTGGATACAGAGATAACAATGTTATCTTACTTAGCGTGTTGATGAGGCCTTATAAAAAGCAGTACTGCAGAAATATTTGACCTTGGTATGCAGTCAAGGTATTACAGCTTGTTAAGTGACTGATAAACTACTCTGGAATTTGGTTGACCTATTCCAAAAATCTGGTCATCCAAGCACGTAAAACAAAGGGCAGAAGGCAGTGTATCTTCTGATGGTCTTGGAAACATTGGATTTCACTAAAGAAAAAATACAGCAAAAAAGTGTCCTTGTGGAAGGAGTTTCTCTGTTTTGAAAGGCTTAGCACAGGGAAGGTGTTTGAATGCAGGCTCTTATCATTTGGTACCATAGTTTATCCATACAGCATCTGTCCCTGCACATCTTGCTAGCTGTTGTTACTGCCGAAGAATTACTGGTCTTCCTGCAGCTCACCATAGAAATTGTCATGCTGAATACATTAAAAGGTGTGAGTCACACCGGAAACGCTGATGTAGGTCAGCCTGGCCACCTGTGTTTACTGTTTATGAATTTGGTCCTCAGTAGATTATTGGGGAAAGCCAGCTGGTTTTCATGTGTGTGCAGAACGGACATCTGATTCATAGGCACTTGAAACGTTCTCCTGTTTTTTGAGGGACTTGCATCCAAAATGCTATTAAAACCTACAGTTTGTCAGATACACAAAACACTGGCAGAGAATCACAGGGTAACTTGGGACTGAAGAGGTATCTAGTCCACTGTCCCTCTCACAGCAAGTGCAGCAGTGACACCAGATCAGGCTTTCTGCAATCCTGTCTTGAAAATTACTGATCCTAACAAAACATCCAACAATGTCAGCATTCTTTCTGCTAGGGTGGATTTTATTGAGAAGCTGAAATGCAGATGAAGCAATGTATAGGGTGTGATAATGGTCCGTTTGGTTGGCTTTCACGATATTGCTAGCTTACTTGGTTTTGTTTCTTTATGTATTCCATGGCGTGACATGGTCATGATAACACAGATGAGCTGCATGCATGGACTAAGGTCATCCAAACTTTACTCTGATCTTTTAGGAAGGGTGCCTGTCAGGCAATATTTAGGTATTATTTCTAAGAATAGCAAGGTAGATACACATTTGTAAATACCAATCAGAAAAGTATGAAGGCATGTAGGGGGAGGAGAGGAGAGGAGTTATTGGGAGAGTAAAGCAGTGTAAT